TAGTTGCGGGACCAGCAAATCCGCGGCCCAGCCCGCGGCCCCGTGGGCCACCTTCAGGCGCGGCGCCGAGGACAAGCGCCCCGAACACCCTCGAGAGTGACAGGAGCAGGAAGGAGCAGTCTGCCAGCGGTACTGGCGACTCCTTGGAGCCCCCAAGGGGACCGCTCTTCAGCGAGACGCTCGGAGATGGCGGATGTCCTCGGATTTCGACCCACCCCGCTATAACTAGTATCAGTCTGGGAAGGGCCTGGAGGAGATAACTTCTAGAGATTGTCCGGGCCAACTTGCGCTCCTCAGAATTGCCTTATGTGCTGGGGGTCGGAGCTGGATACTCTCCCTTTGCGACTTCCCAGGGCTCCCAGCCTCCTCTGTGGATCAGCTCACCCACAGTTTCTCTGGGGAGAGGGAAGTCGCACCTCCGAAGCGTGGAGGTGGGGTGTGCGCTCGGAGCAAGACTTTCGGAACTGAACGCGCAGAGGGCAGAGCCTCCTCCACTTGGCCCTGTGGGAGCTCCTCTCTCTCTAAATCGAGTGAAAGGATCACCCAGATTCAGCTTTCCCAGGATGCGGGAAACTCAAGCAGGGAAGCCAGGTCCTGGGTTAGTCTATAGCTTGGCTCTTCCTGAGCGCCCGGCCCAGAGCGCAGTGAACTCCCCGGCGAGGAGCAGCGTTTTCCGCCTAACAGGAGAAAGGAGGAGAGAAGTAAATTTAGGAGCCACGTGGAGCCTGGAGGACAAGAGGGGGCGGCCTGAGGCACTCCTGGGCCAAAGACTGCTGAGAGGAACGCGAAAGTATGGGACCGTTTACTCCTTTTGACATCTCCAAGCCCGGAATCTCGCCTAAGCACGTCTGTGGTTTGGAGCTGCCCATTTTATCTGCACTTTGTCGTTTACAATGAGCAACAAACCAGAACCAGTGGAAACTTGATTCTAACGTTTCTTCAGAGTTCTGTTGGCACGATTCTGTAAAAACTAAAGAACTGCACATGGCGGAAAAGGGTAAAAGTTTCAGCTTCGTTAACCACCTAGTCCCGGAGCTCTCCCTAGGCACACTGGTTAGAGCCTCTGACCTGTAGATTAGAAACCCTGGTCCCCCACCCTCCACTGACCTCTTCCCAGGGGATCCCTGAAAGACAAAGTTGAATTAAATTTAATTCTGTTGGGGTGGTGGTGCAGCGGATCCTTTCAGCCTTCCACCAGGTTTGTATAAGAGGAAAGTACACCTCTACTCTTCAGCCAGAGCGGGGCAAACCCAATCAGAACTGTCCCGTCCACAATTTTGGTGTCTACTGCTTATCCAGGCAAAGCTTCCCGGTCTCTCCTCGCTTCTCTGATGCATGTTGTAAAACAACACTTCTACAAAAAAAAAAAAAAAAAAAAATCTGCGAAAAAATTTATGCTACTATTTTTTAAAAGTTAAAAATCATTTTATATAGCGTTCTGCCTCAGGAGACTGGTCTTTGCCAGTGTAGCTGTGCCTTTCTTCCTTCCCTCCCTTTTTACTTCCTTCATCCCCGCTTCCCAGATTGCCTTTATTTCCTTTCTTTATGGAAGTCCAGGGTTTTAGGGCTAGGTAATGTATTTCTTTTGTTTTGTTTTTTGTATTTATGGACATAAGATGTAAAGTCATTAAGCCTGTAATAGCAATTCTGAGGAATCTAACTTCTTAACTTCTCAGTTGCTTCCGTCTGTAAAATGGAAATGATACCACTTAGGTAGCCTGTAAGTCAAAATGATGTTGAAATACGTGTGTCACGGATACAGTATTTCTGAGTCAGTGAAATCTTCTTCCTTTTCCTCCTGCATCTCCTAGGCCT